CGTAACAATATATATTGTTTACAGCTATAATGCTAGAGATTAAAAAAAGAAGAAAAAGTTAGTAAGTGTGTGTAAAGCTTTATTTTTACTACATATTCAAATTCAAGACATGTTTACAAAAGTAAAATGAGAATATATATAACAGAGATTATTTGCAGGATTTTTCTCACGCAGTGAAATCACAGAACGTTGTAATTTACAGTTATACCTTGTCCTGAAATATATTTTTTAATACTGAAGGTATTTGAATAACTTTAAATTTAGGTCATCATGGCAGAAAACACTGTTAACAGCGAGGATACCAAATTAATGACCTAAGGCCGAGTGGACATAAAGGCTTTTGGTAGTTTGAATGTCTATTAAGACTAATTGTTACTAACTGTAATTTTGATTGAATATGGTTATAACTCTTCTGGTAGAAGTCATTATATACACGTTATCCTATATGATTATAAGAGTCGTTAAAGATGGTGCATTAAAATCAGATAGAAGTATTCTATATTGTAAGATAAACTTGTTTGTTTAAATTTTTGGGGTAAAAGTGCACAAGGGATATAAAACGATACTAGACACAAAGTGTAAGATAAAATGCACACTCTTTATCATAATAGTGAAACGCAAACGTAGTATGTGTACTTGTTGTTTACTTACGCAGGACGATAGCTTTTATTGGCCCTTTCCTTCCAGTCATTCAAACTGAAATTATTTACCAGCCTTTTCAAATGCAACATTACTTAGTTTGCAAGAAACCTTGCATTTACCCACAGCGACAATGGGCTAACCATGTGACTGGTCATTCTTATTACAATACACATAGGGGCCATAACATATAGATATCACATGAACAACCATTGAAGAACGCCGCTGACAACATGTTCATATAATGTGTCGAATAAAGCAATAGCCTCTGCGAGTAGTAAAAGGTATTATCTATTTTCAAGAACAACAAATGAACAAAGTTAACTTGAAACAAGTTCAACTTCAAGGTTTTCTCGACCACATATTATATGAAATCTTCAGAACAAAGACTGAGTTCAGAACATTTAAGATATCATAAATATACAAAATTGACTTGGTAAATGAGCTGTGGATTTAATCCAATTCAATTGATTGTAATTAACCTTCATATTTACTTTTCAATATGAAGCAATGTTAAAATATTTTGTCTCTTTGTAATAGTGGCACAGCGGTATGTTTGCAGACTTACAACGGTTTGCCAAAAATCCCGAAACCAAGTTAAGATAAACTACCTGTTGGAAGTATCTTGCAGAATCAGAATTACTTTTTTGTCATAAATATTAACTGATAGCTGCTGGGTGATATGCTGTGTGATGATAGACTACATTATTTTAAAGGAAAACAAACTACTTCCATCAAATTTAGCTTGTTTTACTCTAAATGTTATAAAAGTTAAATATTTTCATATTAAAATTCATATTACTGAGATTTCTGTGTGTAAAGTATACTACTAAAACCGGATTTCGATACCCGTGGTGGGCAGAGCACAGATAGTCCATTGTGTTACTTTGTGCTTAATAAATAGAAGACACAAAGGTATTATTTTCCCATTAATCCGCGATGTTGCCACAAGGGCGGCCATGTATAAAAAAATTATGGTAAAAACATGAGTCCAAAGAAGAAAGTTACTGCGGTAATAAAATTTAAAATCATGTGAAAGTTTGATTTAAGTTGATATGGTTTTTAGCAGTTGTTCGATTTAGACATTAAACTTAGTTTAAAATTGTGTAAAGGCAATTCATTTGAAGTTACATGACAGAAGTTTTTAATTTAGAGATACAATCACTATCAGTAAATATAATTAAATTTAAAGTTAAAAACGTGTAGTTTGGTAAGCCAACACGGGAACAGGCGTCAGCAATGTTTTATATACGGAGATTGATAACATTTTTCTTACGTAAAATTGTCTGCAGAATTCAAATCTGCAAGTCTTAAGCGCAACGGATGTGTCAAAAGGCTTCAAAATTGACTTTGAATTAGGGTACCGTTATATCCAATCCAACTCCAAGCCAAACTCGTCTGAAAAAAAAGCTAATTTCTAACATCAAGTTTTTTTTACATTCACAAAGTATTTGGATTATAATATGAGTGAATGGGTGTTTTGGTATAACTTAATATAAGAAAAACTTCTGCTTCAGCACAGCCCAGTGGTCAATTTGTGAACTGTATATGATGTTAATGTAAGGTTGCATAGTTTGTGCTACTTTACTGCTGTAAGAAAAAAAAAAGGTGTTTTTGACACTTTGTAGCCATGGGTACATTATAACTGTGACCGTCAAATCCTACTATTTGATTCAAGTAGCCTACAACTTGACAGTGGGTGGTGTTTACAAGTTCCATTCCCTCTAGTTTATCACTTCAAAATTAGGGAAACTTGCACAGATAGCCCTTGTATAGCTTTTCCTGAAATCCAGTAAGAAAAAAAAAACCACAAACTTTTTAAAAGTGATTGTGTTCTAGAAAAAAAAAATGCTTGGACTACTGGATTTATGAAAATGAAAAATCTGGAGTCGCATCTAAACAAGCAAAATTATAATTAGTTTTAAGTAAATTATGGAAAGGATAATTTCTCAATGTTAAATGTTTTATTATTATATCACTGATAAGCTATATAAATAAATGTCAGTATGTGTGTATCTGTTCCTTATACATTTCCACATTTCTTGATCAATCAGCACCAAACTTGACACGGTGATACAGGATGACATGAGGAAGGTCATAGGGGGGTGTCCAAACCTCCTTCTACTTTCATATTTAATTTTGGAAAAACTACCAATGTATATCCCTCAGCATTAGAATGAACTATGTAACAACTATTGTTAAAATTCTTGAAAACAGTGTGCCTTTATTTTCAGTATTGGTACCTTTATGTATTTTTATTGCACTTTTAATGTTTGTTATGTCAAGAATAAAAAAAATAGAAGCACAATTGCTTATCCTTTCTTACAAATGAGTTTTTATTTCACCAGTTCAACAGATGGTTACTCCAGCTAGTTCATAATAAATAAGAAAAACCAATACATGATGAAACTTAAACAAAAAGACCCAGACACACCACTGCTTGACAACAACACTATTGTTAAATGATATACATGAATCAAAATCATATGTTATATACAATTCATAAAGCCCTTGGATGTTGGTGTGTAGAAAAATAAAATCTAATAGTATCACTTTAACTGTTGTATTATATTCTTATTCATATTAATACCATAATAAAAATTACTTATTGTTAACTCATGAAGTCCAAGGACATGTTAAGTTTCCCAATTTTAAAATGATACTCAGTTCCTATTTGGTGTACATAAATGTTTCTTTTATACCATCAGCCAACCCTAGAAATAATGAGGTAAGTTATGAATCAGTCATGATTTTATATTATAACTAATAGATTAAAAAGAGAATATTTATTTATGACAATTTGGAATTTTTTACAGATATTAACAAAGATGGTGTCATCACTCTGAGTGATTTTCATAGTGTTCGAGAGGTAAGTTTTTTTTATTATTATTATTCATTTGAATAAATAGCCTCAACATATGCATACTTTTTGATGAGTGAGATGACTTTCTTTTGTTCTTAATATCAACCTTAAGTAACAACAAATTAAATGGGATTCTTTGAGCAACAGATGGGCACTTTGGACATGTGGGATATTTTTCAATGTAAGTGTAAACCATATGCTAGAGAAACTTGAATAGGTTAGGTTGTCAAATGTTTGAGGAAGCTGTAAATATATTCATTAAAGATAGCTTAAACTAAATTTGAGTAGTGGTGAGAGAGCTTGGGAAATTCAGAATATATAAATTGACAGGATAGCTAGGGCAACAAGGAGTTTGGAAATATCATGAGCATAAGTTAAATAATAATTTTAACTATAAGTTTGGTACATTTAAATTTAAATATAGTAAATTCAAGAATAAACTCAGTTTCAAGTATTCTAATGTTAGGAGGATTAGAAATAAAATGGATTAATTCAGGATTCTAGTTCAAATGGCTGACTAATATACTGAATATTTCTGAAACTGTTAGATTTGGAGAGTAGTGATGTTTTCTAGTGGGAATTTTATGATGTGTGATAAAAGTTCACTATTTTATACAAGTGTCATATATATATATATATAGTATACATTCATGCATATGTTCTGCTTCAAAACTATATGAAAAAAATAGAAGTTGGCTTACATCAATAACTATACAAGCTAACCCTTTCCAGACAGGTCACAAGTAAGAGTATAGAGAAAGTGCATATATAAATAACATTTTTTAATTAAATGGTTTTACTATAATATTATTCTAGAACTTAACGTCAAACTCTTTATTCCATTTTTTATAATCATACAGCGCATTTGTAAATTAAATGGTTGGAAACCAGGGTCTGACAAGTATGACAAAACTGAGGAATTATTTCGTGACATTTGGGAGTCACTCAAGGAACAGGCTGATTCCAATCATGATAACAAGATAACTCAAGAGGAATGGGTAAGTTTGTTAACATGGATTTTTCCATCCAAAAAATGTGAAGGAAATATCTTTCTTTAAAAACATATTTTAGTCCAGAAGAAATTACTTATGACTGGGATGATTTTTAAAAATATTTGCATTTCAAATATCTTTAAAATTCATTTTTTAATCAGAGTAGCTAAGAAGACTAGTAAAGAAAGAGGTAGAAACGTAATCATGATGTATATAGTTAAATAGAAGGGAGTAAAAACTAATATTTGAACATGTAGCACATACATAAATATAGAAAAATTATAAATATTTTACTTGGATATTGTGTGAAGTAAATAAGTAACCTAAAAAAAACGTCACTGAAGCTTGATGGATATTTGGATGATGTGCTTCAAGAAAGCAAGCTTCAACCAACATTACTCACCTGTTGTTAAAATTAGTTTTTTCAAGCAAAATTCATAATACTAAAGGAAACAAGGATTTAAGAAAAATGTTCAGTTGTCAGGAAATAAATAATTTTTATTTTTAAATTTTCTTCTGCATGCCTTATAATTTTGAGTAAGAGTTAAGTACAGTCAAATGGCATGTGTGTCAGAATATGGATCTGAGGTTCTATGGATTGCATCCCATTACCACAGAAAAAAATAATCACAATCCACATTTTGAGCTTGTGGGTGCCATATAATAGTGATGGTCACATCCCACATTTCAGTTTGACAAGAGTTGATACTGGTTACAGTTGACTGTTAAATAGCTCTGTAACCTGCTGTCTGACACTTCAGAATTAGCCTCGTGTAACTTTGTGCCAAATTCAACAAACATATAGATCTGAAAAAAAAAGAAGAAATATACAAGTTTGTAATAATGTCATGGAATGTTTTGTTTTTTTCACTAGTTAGGATCATTCAAGGTCCACAGAGTAATATTGTTATTGATACACTCTTAATAAGTATATGTTGAATTCAGCAGGTTGACTTAAACCCGGCATGACATTGGATTTAGTAATGATGAATTAATTACAAACATTCTATACTTAACATTTTTTTATATTATAGAAGTCAAATTTTGATTTTTACTAATCATTAGAAGGGTTACAAAGACTAACTGTTTAAGTGACATTCATTGCTTGTGAAATTTCTTTTATTATGTGTAACTTTAATGCTTCTAATGTAGACTTATTGATAGCAAAACAAAATCATGGACTATGTCTTTTAATCTTTTAAGTCTATAATGCTGATGTTTAATATTTATATTTTATTTCATTCATACATACTTTTACAGTAAATTAATGAAGTCTAGTTTCCAGAACTTTCCAAGCAAATTTTAAAGAAACCTTAGGAAAAAGACTAGACAGTAAAAAAGTAGTTTGTGAACACAAATGAGTAATTAGAATTTGCATTTTACCCAGAAAAATTTTAATAAAGTATAAACAAATTATGAGATAGACTTAGCTTCAATTGTGGTGAGATTATGTAATTTTAAGTTATAATTAACTTAAATTCAGTCAGTTGCTCTGCTAGACTTGAAACTTATCTTAAAGTTAATATACAGTATTTAAAGTGTTTGCACTTCTTCAATTTGTTACTCTCAATAGGAAAAAAAAATGGTTGGAAGCCTACCACATAAAAGTTTCTTTTGTTTTTCTCTCAGATTAGGATGTGGGAGCAAATAAATGAAGCTGAGTCTCAAGGGAAAATTAATAAATTTCCCCACTGGCTAACATCATATTTGTGGTACAGGTTTAACATGTATGACAGAACATGTAAGTGTGATGGTTGTTATGAAACTCTAGGTTCAGAGTTAATGGATTTCACATAAAAGTGATGTTATGACATACTACATCAGAATGTGCTTTCTTATGTAAAGTCAAAAGTATCGTAATAATAAGGCTTAATGCTTATTCATGTTTATGTTTTTTAAACTTTAGTTGTATAACCAAATTAGTGTTGAGTGTGTACACACGTTATTTATAATCTAAATATTAAAAATAACTAGTTTCAAATATAATAAGGGTATTATGTTTTAGAAACTGTATATGAGCTGTCTTTTCCTGTAAACTAGACATACTTAAAGGAGTTCATTTGTTGCCTAGCAATAAAATTTACAACTCTGAGCCTTTGAAACAAGAAATAGGGCTAAAGTTGCTGTTTACATTGGCTTGTATATTCTCTGTATAGTTAGTAATTCTGGAGAATTGGTACTTTAAAAGTTAAATCAAATATTTTGTAATTGGATATTTAATTTTTAAAAATGAGCTGCAGTTTGTATTTTGTAACTTGTATTTTCCTCTATTTTTGCCATCTGTAACTGGCACATTTCAAAGCGTAAAAAAAACAAAATTCTGGTTATGCTCACTCCTTCTATATATATATATATATATATATCTCTGACTGATACCTCCACACATACACAGAGCATTCCAAGCAACTATATTATTTTGACCATGTAGTCAAAACCATTTTACACCAAGTGTGTTGTGCCCATTCCCCAAAAGCAAAAATGTATAACTGACTCAAAACATTTTTAAAAATTTGTTTATAGTTGTTTCTTTCACAATTTTTTGTAAATACTTTCTTCAAATTTTAAATTTATTTAGTAAAACAATTGTATTGTTTTTTATTATATCAGAATATAGTGAAAAATGTACTGCATATTTTCAGTTTGGGTTAATTTCAGCTACCTATGAGGGATAAAAATTATTTCTGAATTTTTTTTATAAAGGTCTTAAGATATTCTCACTGTCTATTACAGAGAAAGGTAAGTTTTTTAGTGAAAAGAAAATGAAATATTTTTTTTTATTAATGCCAAGTTTAACTATATTACCCAACCAACATTTCTAAAGCCTAGTTGCCATGGTGCCAGGCAAATTAATCTACATCTCTCTCCATTGTGTGAGCTAGACTATTGATTTAAAAACATAACTAATTCTTTGATATCCTCCATTGCAAATATATTTATCTTTGTTAATTATTTCTTGAGTTGTTTTAGTGGCTTGGTACGCAATTAAATCATGTAATTATTCAGTAGAGTGTTCAGCATGGTAAGGAGTTCTGTTAGGTAAAAACTGGTTGTAAGTGATTTGGTCTTAATTCAATAAAGTGATAGATATAATTATATTTTTTTATAGAAAAAGTATTTCAAGTTAATAAGCTTACTGATAATAGGTATTGTTACTGTTTGCAGTATTTCAATATAAAAGCAATAGAAATACAATATTAATCAATAATGTAGAGTAACATTACTCCATGGTGTTGGATTTGAGGTGGAGGTACAACATCATTTAGCCAAGGAGGGGGAGTGGCCCCCCTGAAACATAGTATTTAATTATGAACTTCAAAAATAATGTAAGTAAAACCTTGATATTATAAAATATGAAAACCTAATCATTATTATCTTGTTTCCCCTACTAGGTGATGGTATAGTTGATGTGGAGGAATTTTGCTATGTTTTAGAGAGCTTTGGAATCCCAGAACGGCAGTCACGCCAGTGTTTTGTTATTATGACTCAGGTAAGTCTCATTGTTGTGGGAAAAAAAAAATCATCATTATCATTGACTATGAAAATTATAACAATAGTTTTTGAAACGACTTGCCCACTCCTGCACATAGTTTATCTATTTTCCTCACGTTCTTCCAAAGAAATTTGTTTGCCACTAACTTTATGAAAACCCCCACTTAATTTCACATGAACTTGCACCACTGCAAGATGATGTCATAACACAGCAAAAAACCTTCACCGATAGGAGGGCAACCCACCTCCTTACACACTTACTCCCCCTGTACATTTGCACTTGTGAATCTTCATTCTTTTTCTCAGCATTGTATTCACCAGACATGTTTAAATTTTTTGCCTGTGTTCAACTTAATGATATTTGCATTGTTAATGAAATTTGATTTTTGTTTTCTTTATCTTTTTCTTCAAAAGCTTTAATATTTTATCATGACTTCTCGATTGACAGTGATATATAATTAGTCCTGAGTGTGGGATGTTGTTCACATTTAGGCCTTATTTCTGCTGTGGTTTTTGGAGGCCCATTAACTGTCAGTGTGTTAGCAACCATTGTTCAATGTGTTGTGGATTACCACATGCTTAATGGACCTCCTACTCATGTCTCATCAACTGAATTGCTTTCTTCTAAATCAGAAATGAGTTATTAGACCACGTCCTTCACCTACTTTGTTTTGGATAGTGCTCTATCATTTGTTAAATGACCATAACCATTTCATCTCTTTCTGGATTTCATTCTTAGGTATGTTCCTCCTCTTTTTTCTGTGTTCTTTATTATTTTTTGTTTTCTCTCTTTATGACCCACAATTCCTGGGTTTATCTTTTTTCTCTTTGCATGTTATTAGGATTTATATGGTTTCCTTTCTCTAATAGCCTTTTCTCATGACAAATACCTCATCCTCCTTCACATTTGTCAATTTTCATTCCTTCCTTTTCATAAATTTCTTATCATTGGTTTCTCTATGACCAGCTTTTTCTCTCTACCTTTCTGTATTTCCCTCTTACATCCACCTTTTATCTGTGGCACTTCTTCATGCTTCTGTGGATTTTTATTCCCTTTTCTGTTTGGCCTGTTCCACTTCCTCTGCTCTCTCCATCCATACTTTGTTTTCCTGTTATCATGACTCATTGGGTTGGGTTACTTTCTCTTAACTGTACCCTTTCCTTCTTGTGTATATATTATTAGTTTGGCTCCCTTTCTTTGCTCAGATGTCTGCTGTGTGGTTCTTTTACCCTGATGACCTGGTCTGATAATGTATAACATTTGACCTTATTCTATTCCCAGGTTCTTTTTCCCTTTCTTGACCTTGCTGTTTACTCCTGTTCCTTGTTTAGATCAATCTTCTTCTCACCCTTCCATTCCAGATTCCAGGCCATCTTCTTTTTCTAATCTTACTTCTACAGTAATGTCATTCATCACTCTTCTTGCCAGTGACTATCACCCGAGTATCATTATACTGGTAATTTTTTCTCTCCTACTGCTGTTCTCCCAACATTTGTTTTCCATTTCTCCACCTTAGAATCTTTTTTCATTCCTCCTCTCTTCGCCTTTCTTTCCATTTCCCTTTCTCCTCTCTCCAACCCTCATCTATAGTCTTTTTCTATGATCTGTGGTTGGCCATGGTCAATGTGTTGGAAACCTTCTTATATGTCTCTCTCAGCCTGTATTCTCTTTGTTTTCTCTGTCCCATCCATCTTTTTTGCATCTTTCCATTTCCATTTACCTCAGTATCAGCCCCTCTTATATTCATTGTTATTATGTGGGCATTCACTTGCCTTATTCATGATTCTTGGTTGACATTCCTTTCTATGACTATTTGTATCTGTTAACCCATTCTGGGATGTTTCCTCTTCTCTTACCTCTCTCCTTTTTACAGTAGCTGCTTGGTTGGGAAGGGGAGGACTTGTCTTGGGATCTGGATCCTTTTCTCACCCACTTGATGTTGGGTACTTTCAGACATTTCTTTCTTCTCTTTTCTTAACTGAGATTAGCCTATCTTCTTTCAACCTATAGCTTATCTAGTCAATGAGTTTTACACTTCTTATTCTCTCTCTACATGAGAGGTTCTTTCCCTTTTGGGGACTCTAGATTCTCTATACCCCCTTCTTAATGTGGGGCATGCCTTCATATATCTCTTACAGTGGACCTTACAGACCCTGAGCTTTCTTTCTTGGGGTCTCTTTTCCTCTTTTGTGAGCCTCTCCTCTAGGAATTGTCACAGTGACTGTACTATGCCTGTCCTACTTCCTACATTCCCTTACCACCTCTCAAACCAGATCTCTTCCTTTTTCAATGCTTCTGTCTCAGATTGAGGACATTTTTTGTAGGCAGGTCTTCCGACATTTGTATGTTGGACTAGTGTCTGCTCCATATCAATGTGTTTGACCTTCTCTCTCTTTCTTTGGCATGTTCCCATTCTTGATGCTACTGACAGTTGAACTGGTCATCTTTCACTTAATCTTTTCCATGGCCTTTCTTTGCTCTAACCATCCTTGTGATTCATGTTCCGGGGGGCCTTTTTGTTGTCTGGCACTAACTATACACTCCTGTGCTTATTTACATTATTTTCCAGGAGCTTCCTTCTTGTTGGCAAACCCTACTCGTCTCATTCTTCTTATTATTCTTCTGGACCTCAGACTTATACACTACTATCCTTCTTGGGCTCTCTTTTTGGTGCCTCTTTGATTGCCTTGATGTACTTGTTACTCAGATCCCCCTTCTGGATTTGTATTTTCTCACTTCTTTTCTTAAGTGAGGAGTATCCTCCATCTACCCTCATACATGGAATTTACTGTCTGTTGCCCATTGGACTGGACTTTCCACTACTTCAATTTTATTCTTGTCACATTCTTTTCATCTTTCTACTGTATTTGTATATCACTATCGGTGGTGGTCTTTTGTCATTGGTCGTTTGACTACCCATTTCCTTCAGGTGGTAATTCTGTGCCTCACCTTTCTTACCAGCTTGTTCATCAAAAGATTCTCGGTCTCAGTCTTTCTTAGTTATCAGGTAGCCATGACCATGGCTCTTCTTTCCCAGTACCAAGACATATTTTTTACCCTGTCCTTTTCATTCTGTTTTGCTCCTTTGCTTTCCTTTGTCCTTGCTCTGTTCCTTTGCCTGACTGAGACTTTGTTTGAGTTTTGCTCGACTTTGTGCACATCTCATTTAAGCTATTGCCTTCTTGCACCATCTTTCTCTCCTGACTTGTTGGGGTTTTGCTCAATCTTGTGCACACATCATTTAAGCTATTGCCTTTTTGCACCATCTTTTTCTCCTGACTTGTTCCCTCTTATTTATTTCTTATGTTTACTGTTATTCCAATTTTATACTCTAGATGCCAAAATCTGCATTGAGCCAGGATAACAGAAAGTGTTTGTACCATCTGCCTTGGCTCTACATATGACAGTGTGAGATGTGGTGTTCTGCAAGACCACTTGAGGTATGGTGTACATACATATATGTTACATTTTCTTGTCTGATCCAGGTCGTACTCATTCCATGGATTATTATGGAAAAAGCCAGCACCAGAGCAGTGTTTCTGCCCACTTCTCTGGCTCATGCTTGCTGGCTTAAAATAGGATTTTGCAGTCACCATTGCACTGTCTCTAGTAAAAGACCTTTCCAGACTGAAGGACTGATGGGAATATGGCACATTCTCTGGGCCTTACCTGTGCTAATTTCTACCCCCCCCCCCTACTTGTCAAGTAGAATATGGGAAACCCTTACCCCTTACTAGTTCCTAGCTGCTGAAGTGGAGGACCATGGAGAATCCTCACCATTTAGGACTTAATTACTGAGGCAAGAACAAGGAGTCCCATTCTGGTGAGAAGTAGGGCTGTGGTGACACTGAAAGTGTAGTGCAGACCACCCCACACACACACACACATATATATATATATAGAGAGAGAGAGAGAGAGCTATGAAAGATCACAAATTACATATAAACATATGATACATATTATAATGCCCTCCTCCTGCAGATCATCTATTCAGACAAGTAGAGGTAGGCACTCACTATACCAATCTGTTCAAAACCTATATCTCAGAAGTCTGGTGGTAGAGGAGATGAGTACACAAGATATGGTCTGAATGAGCCCCAACCTCACTACACACATTAGCTGTCCAATGTCTTGTGTGGGAATACTTGGACAGCTATGTACCATTTCTGCTTATTCAAGTGACAGAAATTTGGCTTATTTGCCTCTCTTCTTTCTTATGCAGGTGAAGAATATGCCCTTGGTGAGATGAGGTGCATTTTCCCACAGGTGTGCCCTATGGATCCCCTGCCATTAGGTGTCACACCCCATGGGCTTACTTTGGATATTTTCTGAAGGGGGTTCATCTAGCTACCTTTTGCACCTGTCCCTCCTCCATCTCAACATGGGATTCTAACTAAAATGTGTGAGTATTTGTTTCAAAAGTTAACATTTTCCTTATCTGTATTTATTATAGATACTCACTACTGCACACATTCCCACTTGCCTCATTGAAGAATGAAGATTCACAAGTGTAAATGCATACTGGGGGGTTAGTGCACATGGAGGTGTGTTGCCCTTCTATCGGTGTAGGGCTTTTGCTGCATGATGATATCATCATGCAGTGGTGCAAATTAACGTGAAATTAAGTGGAGATTTTCACAAGGCTAGTGGCATGAAAATCTGTTTGGAATAACGTGTGGTAGAGCTTAGGAAGATAGCTAAACTGTGTACGGGAATACTTCTGGAACACTGAAAGTCTTTCAATAAAACATGACTAAAAATTTCCAAATATCCTTTAGGCATTGCAGAGCATGCATCTCTTACCCATAATTTTTCACTCTCCCATCTTCCACGTGATCTGTTGAGCAAGCATTAAGGGATCTTGCATAAACTCTGCTTTTCTGCCAGAATTTAGATTTTCTTGTTGACAGTCATGCTGTTCACTTTGCTAAGATGTTCTTTCTGATGCAACTGTTTTTGCCACCATCAGAATGTCTACAACATAGTTGGAGACCTTACTTATGCAATTTGTAGCATGCAGGTCAAATTGTAGCTACTACGTCAGCTCTTATGGTTCAGTGTATTCGTGCTGTTGTACATCAATAGTACTAGCAGGTATAACGATTGTGTGGATGCTTAACTTGTGGAACAATTACCATTTACTTCCGTTTTTGATGAAGATTGATTTTTTTGCTTAGGCCTAATTGGTTTCAGAGTCTGCAGAGCTAGAATTGTCTGCTACAGTGCTAGCCCTAATACTGACAACATTTCTGCTGGTCTTATTTCTTTCTCAGATATTTTCAAATAAAAGTACAGTAATTAGGTACAGTCCTTTCTTATGTATCAAGAATCTGTATTTATATCTATATTAAACTCATCTTGTATAGTTTGACAGAAGTCTCTCTTGGGGAGAAAACTGTGGGACTAAGCACATTCTAGTAGAAGTAACTATCCTTTTGTGCATAAAAAGACATACACTATGTTTTCTTTGTGTTTGTCAGATAATAAAGATTATTTTTACTTTACCAGCTTAGTTTAATCTTGTTATTTCACACTCACTATGAGGATTCAGTTATCTACTACAGAACATTCCCCTTATTTTTTAATAGAATCGTGAGTTTACTTTTATGATACGTGTTGGGAAATCAGTTTTACCTGAAAATACCACACATTCTTTAATCTTTCTTCAGTTTTCCCTGAAGACCCACTAATTTCTCTGGTTGTGTGACTCACAGACCATTTTGATATGGCTGCTTACTTGAGAACCTTCCACTGCAACAGCAGGACATAGTTTTATTCCTCCTACCTGTTTATGACACTAATTGTGTCACATTTATGGTTTGATAGCTTCAACACACCATTACTGGTCACAATATTAACTCCCTAAATTAAAGGGTGTCACAGAAAAAGAGGTTCTCCATTGAGAAGAATGCCTTCTTTTTTTTTGAGTGGCATTTAGGTCTAATTGGTTTATGAAGCTGGTCTGCTTCATTCACTCTCCCTTGAATCGAGTTGTGCAAATTATTTAGCTGTGGTTTTTATTTTTGGTTTCTTTTCATGTACATCGGTTCCCATCTTTAAATTTTTGGGTATTCGAGCTTTCTGTATTTCAGAGGTAAGTCTACATGATTTTATTTATACATTTTTAGAATTAAAATGAATTTCAAACAGTTACTCACTTCTGAAATGCCTTCCCTCCTTCTTCTCTACAACTGAAATTTCATCATGAGTACAACTTTCAGTAAAATCCAAGCTATGGTAAGAAAGCAAAGTTTATGTAAGATACCCTGATGTATGTGCATTAAATCACAATAAGATACAAAAAATGAAATATGACAGAAGTATAATCATAGGTAATTGACTGTATTTACAGTACATAAGAAGCTTCATGAAGTAATCTTGTTTAGATGATGGAGAACACCAAACTCATGTATTTAATTTTTTCTATGTGATAAATGACATGATATTCTTCAAAGTTGTATTGAAAAAGTTATCACTGATATAACCATGTTGACATAAACAAAGTTAATAAGCCAAATAAAATAACTTCAGTAAACATATATCTTCTGAATGCTGGTTGAAATAATCATTGAAACCTAATTGAGGAGGGAAAATGTTATCGATGGTCAGATTCAAAGCTCTTGAGCTATTTTAAATATTTAATAAATGTATAATTTACATTTTATTTCTTACTTGTTAATTAGTTTTTCTATGAGTTTGTACTAACTATTAAATTTTTTTTCCAGAATGAAACCAAACCTCTAAATTTTGATTACTTCTGCAAACTTGCTGGAGAATATTACCGAAGTGATGATCCTGGTGCTTTGGGAAACTTCATTACGGGTAGACTGGCTTTTTAAACACTGAAGTTGACTCAAAGAAGAAGTCCAGTATGTTCAGCCAAAAAAATGCCTTTGGTCAGACAGCTGCTACTAGACTGATGATGTTTTACTTTGAAGTTATCATCATTATTAAAGCTTTCTTAACCTCAGAGATCTCCATATCACCTAAGTTGGTGATGAATACCTATTTGACAGATAATGAATGTGGATAGTGTCATATAGAGTAATGATTCCCTACTCTAATAATACAATTTCTACAGTTTATTATTTTTTCTCACATTTATAAATTATTTTAACATAAATCATTGATAGAGCTGTGTGATTTCTTGAACTTGCCAATAATTAAATCATCAATCTCATTAATTGATTACTTTAAACTAATTGGTTATTCTCATATGAGACTAATCTTCCTACTTTTTAAGCTTGTGTTGGGTTTTTAAAGACATTTTCAAACTAACCTTCATTTAATGTGATAAATATCTTCAAGTAAAGCAACTTAGGATTAAGTTACTTTTTTTATTTTTAAACTATTGCATATTAAGATGCAATCTAGTACAAAACCTGTAACAAGCTGGTAATATGGTTGATATTAGGCTGCAAATTTCTCCCTACAAATTTTCACAAGACTTCTCTATTAAAAATAAGTAAACTAATTCTTCATTAACAACAATTGTCCTTAAATTTCACATGATAACACCTAGTAAAGATTTGTGTTTGTCACATTGTGTGATGGGTAATAAATGTAATTCAGTGAAAATAAATTCACTCTGATCATATAAAAACGAACAGTACAACGTTTACTATTTGGCAATAAAACTTGTGATGATACTAGATGGCCTCTTTGTAGAGAATAAAATGATTCATAAGATGGAAATTGAAATTTTAGACAAAATAGTAAAATCATTATAATGCCAGGAAAATATTTAAATACTGACATTTCATAATTTTTTCTAATTCCATCATCAACATGAAAACCTTAAAAATAATCAACAACTGCCTTAGTATAAAAACATAATGTGCTTTTAAGCAAGAAGTTGATACTGACAAAAGTTTTGAAAGAATACCTTAAAATGATTATGTTTACATTTTACATTACAGTATAGAAACACATCTGCATGCTGAGAAATCAATATATCAGACACTTAAAGCTTACAGTACTAATTAGCTAGTGTTTAAGAGGCATGTAATATTAGTCAGGCTTGTATTTGCTTTTTTAGTGATTCCTATCTAGCTAGAGCTAGTCGACAAGTAAAATGGATGTTATATATCGTTAGACTGTTATTAGTCTGGACAGGGTTAAATGAACAATTTAAATTTTTTTAAGCAAGTGAAGAATAATCAATGATTGACCTTTCAGTCACAGGGGCATTACATATTTTTCCTTGGATTGAGGAATGGCAAAGCTACTAAAGCTATTTACTACTGTCCCTAATTTTGAATTGCCAACCAGAGGGATGATAACTGGCCAGAAGCACTCACTACTAACTCTTGCTCTACTATTTACTAGCTTAGCCTTAACTGAAACAAGTTTGTTCAGCTTCAGATACATGCCAATTAAGCTCAATCAGGACAGGAGAGCTAGTACCACTTCACATATACAATTTATAAAGGTGAAAATGGGGTCAAGTGGCTGTTGGTTATATAACTAGCCATAGTGATGCCTACTATTTGTATTTACCCTGTTTAATTAAACAATAGTGTAGCTTAAACTTTATATATTGTTCACTTATTATAAAATTCAAACATAATCAGTGTCACTTGTGATAAAATTGCTTTAATAAATAAAAATCACAGTAATTTAATATCCTTTGTAGCAGCAGGAGTCAAATTCTCAGATAATGATGGTTACTCTAACTACCAGGTCATTCTAGCCCAAAGCTGAACAAACTTGATTTAATTTATAAACTAATAATGAGAAATCATAATGGCAAGGTTTTGCTTACTTGAATAGTTGTATTAATTGAAAATAATAATCTGAGACATTAATTTCGATTAGTTGATTATTTTTATGAGCCATGAAACTAAACATTTAAATTAAAAACTAATTAATTCAAAATAACAATGAGAAATCATAATGACAGTATTTTGATTGCTTGGATAATTGAAATAATCATAAGAAATAACAGTTGGAAATATTAATTTTGATTAGTTGATTATTTTTGTGGCATTAATCAATTTAATTCTCATTTTGATTAAATCAATAATTTTATATGAAATTAATCAACATAATTGGTGTTCAGAAGTAACTGAGTAACCACGTGTTCTTCCAGGTTTAATCGTGGATGTTCTCTTTTGAAAAATATGTCATCATAATTTTATTATGTACATTTTCGTGGTAATTTTGAAATATGGTTAAGTATTGTTTTACACAGTATTTGATATTTCAGTCTTATGTAGTTCATACTAAAACTACTCACTCAATTCAATTTTTATAATGAAGAAAATTGTTTTCAATTTATTCCACAGACATTAAAGTTAGTATCATGTTTTTCTTACTATTGAAATAAAGTAGTATTTATTCAACTTATTACCCAGAACCATTAGTTGTATTTACTGAAGTTAAGTAATGATGTGAAGTATCTGTAATATGTAACATAGTAAGCTCACTCACATTATATGGTAAGAATGAAAGTCACTCAAAGGAGCTTTAAATAATCTAAGGTGGTTAATTTTTTCTGTTATTTTGATGTATGTTCTATCTTTGATATTATTTTCCTAAAAGCAAGAAGCTTTCAAAATTCCCTGCAAACGTTATTTAATAAGAAATCTTTAATACTAAATCTATCTGGAAAGTTTCATATATTTTTTCATTATAAAAGAGTATCTAGGTGCATGTAATATGTTTCTAAGTAAAATTCTTACTTGAAATTCTGTTGTAATCTCTGAAAAAGTAAAAAATGAATAAAATTTTTGAAATTATTCTCCTGGAAAAAATTTTAATTTGTTGTCATGAGAACCAGGCAATCACCCAGTTACAAAAATAAAACTATCTAAACTGTGTTTTTTTCACATCCTGTTGTCTTGAGAATATAGTTTAAAGAAATCAGAGACAATTATCTGTCAAGCCCATGATAATTTTGTAAACTACAATCTATGAAAATAACCTACTCTTTCTACAAGAAACCGAGTTTTGATATCTGTGGTGGGCAGGTCACAGATAGCCCGTTGTATAGCTTTGTGCTTTACTACAAACAAAATCTTAACTTTTTTTTTTTGCTCAAGAGAAAATAAAATCATAATCCATAACTTCCAAGTAACCTTTCCATCACCAGAATTATATTAGTAACCCATTTCTGAAACTTTAACAATAAATTAGTATTCTTTTTTGATAAGAAAACTCGTATAAAGTATTCCAAGTTAGGCCTAGCTAGGCATTTGTATAAGATAATTTCATTTTTTGAGTTATAATCAGTATATTTATAAACACACCATAAAATTTTATTAGCTTTAGTACAACTAACACAGCACTGCTTCAATGACTTCATCACCATTATGCCAAGAATGATTTTCTTAGTTCATGCTGTTAATTGGGTTCTTGTCTATACTAAGTATGTCATCTAAATTATAACGTGATGATGACAAAACCTTATCGAAACGTTGTACATTTGCTGTTATGTTAAACTTATATTAAAGTTTTTCTTCATTACCCATTCAAGCCGTTTCCAACCATTATTAACCTTTGTAATTTCTGTAATTAGAGTTCATTTGCCATGTATTTGTTCAATTTATTCAACTAATTCTTTAATACCTCAGCTTCCACGTTATATTGAGAAATACCCAACAAAAAACTTTCCTAATTTACTAGTAATGCCCTCTATCAATATCATTAATGTTAATACAAAAAACAATGCCTCAAACACTGACCCCATGAGACACTCTTGTTGTAACAAAGGTCCAGTTTGACTAGACTCATTAATAACAATCTTTGGCTTTCTCCCAAACCAACCACTCTACTGCCCAATAAATACCAATACAATTTCTTAACTAGTCTTTTGAGAATGGTTTGATAGTTAGG